TTTTTGAGATGGAGTCTTGCTCCGTCGCCAGGCTGTAGTTCAGTGGCATGATCTCAGCTCACTGCAACCTCTGCCTCCTGGGTTCAAGCAATTCTCCTGCCTCTGCTTCCCGAGTAGCTCGGACTACAGACGTACGCCACCATGCCCAGCTAATTTTTGTATTTTTAGTAGAGACAGGGTTTCACCACGTTGGCCAGGATGGTCTCGATCTGTTGACCTCGTGATCTGCCCGCCTCGGCCTCCCAAAGTGCTGGGATTACAGGCGTGAGCCACCGCGCCTGGCCTTTTTCTCTTCTTGTAACCTTTAATTTCGGCTCCAAAAGTGAGCCAGAATCCCCGCCCACGTCTTCCACTCAAGCCTCCCCGCGGACGGATTGATCCCGCACCGCAGTCCCGAACGCGGGCGGCCGCGCTGCGCCTGCGCGGAAGGCCCTCCCGCACCTTTGAAGGTCATGATGGCGATTTGCACCCCAGCGCGGTGCAGCCGCCGCAGCCCCTCGGGCTCAGCTTTGCGGTCCTCACAGAAGTAGAGGCGCGCAGTGAAGATCCTCAGGCTGAGGTTGGGGTTCCCTCGCAGAAAGTCGGCCACGTGTCGGGCACAGTCGTAGCAGGGGCTCCAGGAGGTGAACCAGGTGACGCGGTAGCACCGGCCAGGGTCCAGGTCCCAGTCCGAGATGTAGCGGAGGAAGAGCAGCTCCACGTGGCAGCCATTCTGGGAGGACAGAGAGGACCCCGCGGAAAGTCACTGACTTTTACTGCGATTCTGGTAGCCTTACTCATTCTCTCCTACAGGGATCTTGGGGATGCTTGCAGCCATTGACCTTGTGTTAGAGAAGCGAAGCAACTTGCTCAAAAGAACACACCATTACGGGGAGCTGAAGCCTTGGCGGCACTAGTCCTACAGAGTGAAGGAAGGCTCTGTGTTTGGGTGTAATGAGGAATATGAAGTGCGCTGAGTTGGAAGGGGCATGACACCACCTCAGTGAAGACTGGTGTTTATAAAGTTGCTTTTTGCACCTTTTGAGAAGAAAAATGATTGGCAGTGCCCGTTGATGTAACGTTGTGGAAATATACCTGGACCACTAGGTGGAGGTAGGACAGTTTATGAGGACCAGCTGGGAGGATCTGAAAACAGGAGGTCGATTTTGGTAAAGCAGACAGATTGGGTGTTGTAAGAGAAGTAATGGGCACTGCCATGAGAAGTAAATGAAAGTGCTTGGTAAAATCAACGCCTTCTGAAATAGAATGTGTCATGTCATCAAATAGGAAGGAGATTGGGATATACTCATACAAATTTAGGCAAAGAAGATTGCATGGTAATGTGACTATCAAACAATGAGCCAGACGATGACCTTCCACCCCATGGATGCTTCACTGAGATTTCACCAAGACTAGACGACACAGCATGTTAGGAGAGAGGAGATACCCATGGCAGAAGTTTATGTAAACCCATCTGGATCTTGGTGAAGAAGTCTCTTGGAAATGAATTATCTCGGATAGCTGAAAGATCAGTTTAATTAATCAATCAGCAGAGGCTTCTCTGAGTTTTCTGGGAATCACCATGTTGAATATTCACTGGCCTACGATTCATGTGAGTAGGAGGGAAATCATTTGGAAAACAGAATTGAATCACTGTTAATTTTTTCCCAAATTATTCTTCCTTAATTTTCAAAAATGCTTAAGACACAATTTGTTTTTCACATTTAAAATGTTTGCTTGAACAAGCTGACAATACTGTCCCAAATCAAAATGCTTTCAGCTTGATTAATCTCAAAGGCAATTCAGATGCTGAGGAAAGAGGGTGGAAAATTTGGGAGCAGTTGTCCCTGGTATTGAAGGAAGGTGGGGCATTAGGGTGCCCAGCATTACTGGGGAGGAATTAAATCACATATTTTGGGCCATGTCTAAAATGGGTGCATGGACATGGAAAAAGAAAGAAAAAAGGGATTTGAGGAATGTAATAGAGACACAAATGAAAAAAGGATGGAAGTCATACCATCAACAGGTGCCTCTAAAGCACTCACAGTTGACCATTAAACTGCTTGCAAAGCCGTGTTTAACTGATACCTTATTGCGAAGATGACCAAAGTCCAGTGAAAAGGAAGTAGCACTGTCCCGCCTCTTCACTACATAGCACAGGTAGGTCTCATGCCGACCCTTAGCCCAGCGGACGTTTTTGAAATGGTAAAGGAACTTCTTCTGGTTCATCAAGAGGCTGTGGGTGAGAGGAGGGAGAGGAAACGCAAGAGAACAGTTCCTTATCTGGTCACTCTGTATTTTCCTTCAACTTTTTAAAGAAATTATTACTTGGGCTAAACCAGAGAAGATTCTCTGGATTCCTCTGCTGAATGCCTAAGCCATACCCAGCCCTACTGAGCGATCCATCATAAACTCCTTTTCCTGCTTGTATTTAAGGCCAATTGAGAGATACTCATCAAGGACCCCAAACCCTTACCCACAAGACGGTTACCTCCTGCCACTGTCTTCTAGATGCTAATGACTTGGAGTTACAATTAAATTTGTTCTTCAACAAGAAAACAAAACAAAAAATAAAATAAACTTCTTCCTCAGTCCCATAACTATATTTTCAGATTTTTCCCTCCAGCCTCTACCTAAGTGTCCAACTTGTACCTCAAACTCAAAATGATCAAAACAATACTCAACTGCCGCCTGTCCTAATCTGCCTCTCCTCCTGATTTTGCCATCTCAGGTAAGCCGGCTAGCAGCTTGGAACCATCCTTGATTCATTTCTTCTTTCTCAGTCCTCCTAGTTAATTATCTAAATGTGTTGATTCAAACCCCCAAATATTTCTTGAATTTATATCTTCTCTGTTTCCTCTGCTCTCTGCTTTGGTCCAAGCCCTCATCTTCTTCCACCTTATCTGATGTGCTGGCCTCTTAACTGGGCTCTCTGCCTCCAGTCCCTCCAAAATAACATTCTCCACACTGTCACCACCATGATCTCACAAAAACCCAGGTGCACCATGCCATCCCCATGCTGAAGACCCCCGATGGTTCTCTTCTGCCTGCAGAATAAACTCCAAACTCTTTAATGTGGTGTTTAGGCCACTTTTTACAGTTGGATCTCAACCTAAATTTCTCTTTTTTTTTCTTTTTTTTTTTTTTTTTTGAGATAGGTTCTCACTTTGTTGCCCAGGCTGAAGTACAGTGGCATGATCTTGGCCTACTGTGGCCTCAACCTCCCAGGCTCAGGCAAATCTCCCAGTCTCAGGGGATCCTCCCCCATCAGCCTCCTGGGTAGCTGGGATTACAGGCACTCGCCACTATGCCCAGGTAATGTTTACACTTTAGTAGAGATTGGGTTTCACCGTTTTGGCTGGGCTAGTCTCAAACTCCTGATCTCTGGCGATCTGCCCACCTCAACCTCCCAAAGTGCTGGGATTACAGGCGTGAGCTACTGCACCTGGCCTATTTTTTAATGTGTAAGAGCAATACCCAGCCAGGTATTGCTCTTATACATGGTGAAACCCCATCTCTAATGAAAATACAAACATTAGCCGAGCATGGTGGTGGGCGCCTGTAATCCCATCTACTAGAGAGGCTGAGGCAGGAGAATCACCTGAACCCAGGAAGTGGAGGTTGCAGTGAGCCTCGGTCGTGCCATTGCACTCCAGCCTGGGCAACAAGACCAAAACTCTATCTCCAAAAAAAATAAATAAATAAAAATAATATTTGATTGCTGTCAAACTTGAATACCATGGAAAAATAGAAGAGCTCTAAATTTTAAAATATTAAAGATGTTTTAATCTAGAATATCAGTGTCTAATAATCATAATTAGACATAGTGTCTAATGACAATGACTGTTAAGATTTTTGTGTTTATTCCTCTTGTCTTTCTATGGTACATATTTATGCGATTTGGATTATACTGATTGTATGTGTGATTTTGCACTCTGCTGCTTTTTTAACTGAGCAAAATAATCTAAATAACTTGCTATGTGGTGCCTGCATAGTGACTGATTTCTCTTCTGTTTTCTGGCTCCTAGCAGAGTGTCTTGCATATCAGAAGCACTAACTTGAACAGTATTTGTGGAAATACTCTGGCAACCCAAGCCTTTTTAAAGAAATCAAGAGTCCTCGTTATAGCTGCAAACAGCAACACAAGCTGTACAGCGTGGTTGATAGGAAGGCACCAGTGGTGCCTGCTTTTTGTCCCTAGACTTTTCCAGAAATGCATTTATCCGATTTGTGGAGCTAGTGCTGTCACCTAATGGCAGGGGGCAGAAGTGCAGAGAATTTGCGAGTAAAGGGATCAGGAATTTGAATAACGTTTGCTAGCAAGAGAAATGAAACTTTTCTTACTCATTATTTTTTCTTACATTGAGGTATAATTTACATAAAGTAAACTTCACCCATTTAAGATGCCCAATTCTACGAATATTGTTGGGTGTAAACACCCCAAATGGCTACCACAGTCAGAATACAGAACCTGAATCACCACCCTTACCCCACCAGAGTTTATTCCTCCCCCTTTGCAGCCCTTCCCCTCCCCACAAGGCAACCACTGATTTGCTTTCTTTTTTCTCTTTTTTTTTATGGAGAATGGGGTTTCACTGTGTTGCCCAGGCTGGTCTTGAACTCCTGAGTTCTAGAAATCCTCCCACCTTGGGCTCTTCAAGTGGTGGGATTAAGTATGAGCCACTATGTCTGCCCTGATTGCTTTCTATAAGTTACTTTCATTTTCTAGAATTTTGTACAGCATACATTTATCTCTTCCTTCCTGTCTGACTTCGTTCATTTAGCATAATGACTTTGGGGTTCATCCCAAAGCAGTGTGTTCCTTTGTACTGAAGGGTGGTATTCTATTGCATGGATACAGCACATTTTGTTTATTCATTCACCTATTGATGGACGTTTGGATAGTTTCTACTTTAGGGCTTTCATGAATAAAGGTACTATGAACATTCATGTACCAGTCTTTGTGTGGATATACATTGAGAATTGATATTTTAATAATGTAATACAGGTGATAGACCCTAACTTTAAAAGTTAACTACCAAAATATCAACCAAATTAAGTCGATCATCTAGGACAGCAGCTCTTTGTAGCGGTCTCAATTAGTTTTTTTAGTTTTTCTTATTATTCCTTTGAGGCAAGATCTTGCTCAGTCACCAGGCTGGAGTGCAGTGGCGCAAGCATGACTCAATGCAGCCTTGACCTCCTGGGCTCCAGCAGTTCTCCTGCCTCGGCTCCCTAGTAGCTGGGACCACAGGCACGTGCCACCACACCTGGCTAATTCTTGAATTTTTTTGTAAAAACAGGGTTTTGCCATGTTGCTCAGGCTGGTCTTGAACTCCTGGGCTCAAGTGATCCACCCACCTCAGCCTCCCAAAGTGCTGGGATTATAAGCATGAGCCACCACACCCGGCCATCTGTTTCAATTTAAATATCTCATCACGCATGACGCTTATTGGAAAGCACTTTAAACTTTAGGCAGCAAACTAGATTTATTACCAGTCTACACATTATGTAAGGTAAAAATTAGCCATATTATTTTAAAATTAAAAATGCATATTTGGCTGGAATCCAAAATGGATACTAAGCCAGATACAAGGGCTCACGACTGTAATCCCAACACTTTGGGAGGCCAAGGCGGGAGGATTCCTTGAGCCCAGGAGTTCAAGACTGCAGACAAGCTATGATCAAACCACTGCACTCCAGCCTGGGCAGCAGGGTGAGATTGTCTCTAAAAAAATTAAAAATATAAAACACAAAACGAATACTAACAAAGATCCAATGATAATTAGCTTTATTTTTAAATGATAATTTTTATGTTAATTACCATAGCACCAACCACCATTACTAATACTATATTAGCATATAATAACCCTTTGTATATATATAAGCTCAACACATAATAGGTGCTTAATAAGTACAGAAGAAAAAGAAAATAAATTCACTCTTTGAGGCCCAATGTTAAACAGATTAAGCATGATCTCTTACCAACAAATCCCTTTTATATTTAACCTACTCTCCTGGGCTGTATAGTTGAGAAAGGCAGAGGAAACTTCATCTTTTTACCTGCACCTTGGGGTGTGTGTGTGTGTGTGTGTGTGTGTGTGTGGTGAGAGAGAGCCTGTTACCACAAGGAAGGAAAAGTGTCCTGGAAGTATAGATAAGAAGTATATGGCATAGATAAAGGACTTCAGTGGACTTTTGGGTCCTACTCTACATGAAAGTACAATAGGCCTGCACTGTTTCTGCACATGTACCCGTCAGAGTGAAATGAATTGCATGATCCTAACCTGCTAGTTAACTTCGTTGATCCATTACTTCCCTTCTCTGGTTAGAGGCCTGTTTCCAGCGCCCTGTCCTCATGGTTTCTCTCCTGGGTAGGAAGGACTTGCCAAGGGAGTGTTTCAGACCTTCAGGCTGACAGCTGCTCTGGACAGCTGTGCTCCCTGAGGCAGAACCCTAGCTGCAGCCCCAGCCGGGCAAATCAGAAACAACCGGGCTAAAAATAATCCTGACGAAGTCATTTTGCCGTCACTAATGAGCTCTACGGATAGTCTCCTCCTTAATGATGACATTTTTCCCTTTTATCCTGTTGAATTTCATCTTTTCTCCTTTTCCGTCTTTCTCTGAATTTCAACTGCTGGTTTTAACTTTGCTTTGCATTTTACTTTGACAAAACAAATATTTCCAATGGACCCTTCACCAGGACCTATACCTCAGACTTGTTTTCAAAATCTCACTGTAAACTGAGGAGACTTTGACATTGTTTGCCCTCAAGAAAATTTTCTGAAGGACATTAAATCCTCCATTAAAAATCTTTATTCTGGCCAGGCACAGTGGCTCACACCTATAATCCCAGCACTTTGGAAGACTGAGGCAGGCGGACCACAAGGTCAGGAGTTTGAGACCAGCCTGGCCAGCATGGTAAAACGCTGTTTGTACTAAAAATACAAAAAATTAGCCGGGCATGGTGGCGTGCACCTGTGATCCCAGCTACTTGGAAGGCTGAGGCAGGAGAATTGCTTGAACCCTGCAGGCAGAAGTTGCAGTGAGCCGAGATTGCACCACTGCACTTCAGCCTGGGCGACAGAGGGAGACTGCATCTCAGAACAAAAAAAAAATATTTATTCTGTACACTAGGTGTGATGGCTTATGCCTGTAATTCCAGCACATTAGGAGGCCCAGCGGGGAGGATTGCTTGAGGCCAAGAGTTAGAGGCCAGCCTAGGTAAGAGAGTGAGACCCTGTCTTTACAAGAAAAATCTTTTTTAAAAAATCTTTATTCTGAAATGTAAGTTCTTTATAAAGGAATTAAATGGAGGTAAAGTATATGGATGAGGTATTATTCTCATACATTCATAGTAATCATAAACGTGGGAAAAGAATAACTTCTATGACAACAACTTATAAAAAGCTGCACATAAAGACTTTGTGAGGACCTTAACCAAAGTCACACTTCAGAGGTAAGTTAAGCTATGTCTGAACAGATAGAAGAGTTAGTTAATAGTAAAAGTGCCATTAGCTGCCTAACGATTGGGCCTTCAACATGAAATAACTTGCTTGAATGAATTCTTCTCCTTATAATGGACACAATCATAGTGACTTTCAAGCAATTAATTTAGAACTTTGGCATTTCTAAAAAGTACAAATTTTGTTACTATAGCTAAATTATTTTTAACATCTCCCGAGGAAAGTGTGTCTTTAAGTTGTTTTATTGTTGAATATTTACAAAATTATTATGAAAATTACCACTCCTGTTTTTAGTACAGTATTGCTATTACCTTTTCGTGATTTGAGTCTCTAAAGATTCGCTATGTTAATATTATTACCATATATTAGTTTCAATCACGGTGCAAATCTCAGGACAAATCAGCACATTGTACACACTATTTCTTTTGCAAAATGAAAAAGAAATCGAGAGAAGTCAGAAACAGAAAGAATTGGGCTGACAGCATTTAAGATCTGCATAGAAGAAAAGGAGACAGATCCAAAAAATAAATATGCATATTGACCAAGCTGATCTTACGAGGCAGACAGTTACATCAGAGAAAGGGATAGCTACCAGTCTCATTACTCAGATTTGCTCTAAAAGGAAAGCCAATGCAACCACCCATGAGGAGACTGCCTCTTTACCTGTCCATAGCGGTGTGCAGACTGTCCTTCTTGGCTCCCTGAAAGTGTCAGGCCAGAAAAATCTTGCCTCAATTAATGATGCTTCTCTGCCTCTGTCTGACAGTGCATTGGCCCTTCACATTCAAATTTGAGCTTGCTTTCTGGGCTCCTCCCCTGGCAGCATCACCCCCACCAGGTACCCCAATGGCCTTGTTCCTGATTTGGATCCAGTGAAGATGGGTGGGGCTGTCATAGGCAGAGTCACATGGGTTACATGATTGAGGGCAGCTCTGCTTGTTAAAGTTCTTTTAGGGCCCCTGCTCTGAAAGTCCAGTCCATGCTCCATAGCTAGCAAAGATCAGGAGACAGTAACAGTAGACACTTAAATTATAATCATGATAACACAAAATATCTTTAAAAGCACAGTGAGAATAGCAATATTTATGTAAATAGCATTAAAGATCATTTAACTAGCTTCTTGTGGTGGTGTGTCAAAGAGCACTTAGAAAGCCTCTATTTCCCCATATTCCCACAATATCTCTGAATCTCAGTAGATACAGACACTAACCGTTCTTACTTTGCAGTTAAGCAAATGAACTTAGTTATACAGAATTTAGAACGCAAAAATTTTACCTCCTAAACCATGGATTTTTTTCTTTCTGATTGCATTACAAGAATTGCTTGAAGACTAGATATTTACACCAAAGAGTGATTTTTGCATAAGCCATCTTTTTTAGAAAAAACTCCTTAATTTGGAGTCAGAATCAGCAGCGGTCCTCCAAAATACAAAAATGCTTATTTCACCGACAGAATCAGTGTCTAATTGACTGCATTGAATTTGGAAAATAGGCTAAGATCCTCAAATAAAAGACTTTAATTTTGTGCTCTTATAGAACTTGGTCTACTAAATATTGTATCTCTCTCCTACTGTGGACCATATGCATTCTATTCATTCACTCAGTAGACACTTCATGCCTCCTGTGTAATGGAAACTATGCCAAGCACTAGGGATGCAATGGTGAGCAATGAAGCTAGGGTCCCTGTTCCCTTCCTGCCTCAAGGTTTCGATAGCATCTATACCCTGATAATTCCCAAATCAATAGCCCTAGCTTGGACCATCTATTTGTCTGTTCTCACACTGCTAATAAAGACATGCCTGAGCCAGGGTAATTTATAAAGGAAAGAGGTTTAATTGACTCACAGTTCCACATGGCTGGGGAGGCCTCACAATCATGGTGGAAAAGCAAGGGACATCTTACATGGTGGCAGGCAAGAGAGAGCTCATGCAGGGGAATTCTCCTTAATAAAACCATCAGATCTTAGGAGATTTGTTCATAAGAACAGCATGGGAAAGACCCACTTCCCATGATTCAACTACCTTCCACTGGGTCCCTCCCATGACGTGGGAATTGTGGGAGCTACAATTCAAGATGAGATTTGGGTAGGGACACAGTCAAACGTATCAGACCTCTTCCTTAAACTCATGACAAGTGTGTCCAGCTTCCCTCTCAGAATCTCCATTTGGATGTCTGAGCATCTCAAACATGTCTAAAACAGAGACCCTGTTCTCTGCCTTACCTGCTCCTCTTGCCATCTTCCCCATCTCAATAAACAGCAGTATTCTTTTAATTGCTTGGCAAAACCTGGGCAGAGTGTCTCTCAACTCCTCTCTTTCTTTTTAAATTCCATGCACACTCCATTAACAAATCCTGTTGTCTCTGCTTCCAGAATATATCCACAAACTGACCACTCCTCACCGCCTGCAAGTCAAGCAACCTGGGTTATTGCATTTTACCCCCCAGCTGGCCTTCCTGCCTTCCCCTTCTTCGATTACAATCTGTTCTCCACACAGCAACTGGAGTATTCATTACGGAACATTTAAGGTCATGTCACTCCCCTGTCATAACCCTCCATGGCTTCCCATTCTCTCAGTATAGGCCAGCAGCCTGAGATGGCTCACAAGCCCTGCTCCCATCTGCCCTGCTTCACCCCCTGACTGCATCTCCCTCCATTCTGTCCCTTGCCCATGGAAAGAGCACACACTCCTGCCTCTGCCCTTGAGGGTCCCTCTGCTGAAATGTCCTTTTCTTGTGTATGGTTGCGGCTTACACCGTCATGTATTTTATGTCTTATTCAAACACTCTGTAGTATTTGAGACTTGTCCTAGTCACCATATCTAAAATGTCAACAAAATCTCACCATTCTGACACTCTTGCCTCCATCCCCTAAATTATTTTTCTCTTTAGCACTTATCACTTAAAATACACTCTCAAGTAAAATAGTCTGTCTAAATTACTATTTTTTGATTAGCCATGAGATTCAAAATAATAATAATATGATCATTATTATTTTGAGGCAGGGTCTCTCTCTGTCACCCAGGCTGGAGTACAGTGGCGTGAACATGGCTGACTGCAGGCCTTGACCTCCTGGGCTCAAGCGACACTCCGGCCTCAGCCTCCCAAGTAGCTGAGACTGCAGGTGCGTGCCACCATACCCAGCTCATTTTTGTATGTTTTGCTAGAGATGGGGCCTTGCCATGTTGACCAAGTTGGTCTCGAACTCCTGGGCTCAAGTGATCTGCCCGCCTCAGCCTTCCAAAGTGCGGGGATTACAGGCATGAGCCACTGCACCTGGACTTGTCTAAATTATTATTGCTGAGAAAATTCCTCAGGGCACCAGAAAGATCATAAACAGTAGTTGCCTTTGGCACTCTGTTTTCTAGGACGGAGCAGAATGGAGACTCCAAAGTCATCTGCGGTGTCCACCGGAAGGTGCAGGCATTTGAAATCTCATCCCTTTAAGTTGTATCCTTAGATGTGAGTTGGGCTTTTATCATATTTTCACCTATTTTTCAAAAGAATAACACACAGGTACACACAATTGGGTTGTTTTGTCATTTTATATAAAAAGGGCATATATTTAAGGTGCACAACATGGTGTTTTGATATCCATAATGAGATGGTCACTACAGCCAAGTTAATTAATTTACCAGTCTCCTCACATAGTAACCTTGTATGTGTATGTGTGTATGGTGACTGCACCTGAAATCTACTGTCTTTGAAAATTTCCAGCACACAATTTTTTATTTTTTGAGACAGTGTCTCGCTCTGTTGCCCAGGCTGGTGTGCAGTGACATGAGCTTGGCTCACTGCAGCGTTGACCTCCTGGGCTCAAACAAGCCTCCCACCTCAGCCTCCCAAGTAGCTGGGACCACATGTGCACACCACCACAGCTAGCTAATTTTTGTTTAGTTTTTTTACGTGCAGGGTCTCACTGTGTTGCTCAGCTGGGTGCTAAACTCCTCAGCTCAGTCAAGCCACCCATCTCAGCCAAAGGGCTGTGATTACAGGTGTGAGCCACTGCGCCTGGCCCAATACTATATATATATATATATATATATATATATATATATATATATATATATGGTTTTTGTTTTTTTTTTTGAGACAGAGTCTCACTCTGTCGCCCAGGCTGGAGTGCAGTGGCGTGATCTCGTCTCACTGCAAACTCCACCTCCCAGGCTCAAGCGATTTTGCTGCCTCAGCCTCCTGAATAGCTGGAACTATAGGCACATGCCACCACACCCAGCTAATTTTGTATTTTTACTAGAGGCAGGGTTTCACCATGTTGGCCAGGCTGGAATACTTTTTAACTATAGTCATCATGCTGTATAGTAGATCCCTAGATTTATTAATCCTGTAAAACTGCAACTTTGTACTGTTTGACCAACATCTTCCCATTTTCACTACTTCCCCATGCCTAGTAACCACCATTTTACTTTCTTTTTTTGAGATGGAGTCTCACTCTGACACCCAGGCTGGAGTGCAGTGGCATGATCTCAGCTCACTGCAACCTCTGCCTCCTGGGTTCAAGCGATTCTTCTGCCTCAGCCTCTCAAGTAGCTGGAATTCCAAGCATGCGCCACCATGCCCAGCTAATTTTTGTGTTTTTAGTAGAGACGGGGTTTCATCATGTTAACCAGGCTGGTCTCGAACTCCTGGCCTCAAGTGATTCACCCACCTCAGCCTCCCAAAATGCTGAGATTACAGGCATAAGCCACTGTGCCTGGCCCGGCATTTTACTTTCTGCTTCTATATATTAAATTTTGTAAGTGAAATTATGCAGTATTTTTCTTTCTGTGTCTGACTTATTTCACTAAGCATAATGTCCTCCAGATTTATCCATGTTGTTGCAAATGGCAAGATCTCCTTTTTTAAGGAAGAAGAATGTTCTTATTCTGTTATGTATATACCACATTTTCTTGATCCATTCTTCTGTCGACAGACACTTAGTTTGTTTCCATATCTTGGCTATTGCGAATACTGCAGCAGTGAACATGAGAGAGAGCTCTTCAAGGCACCAATTTCATTTTCTTTGGGTATATACCCAGAAGAGGAATTGCTCAATTTGGTAGTTCTGTATTAAAATTTTTGAGAATCATATGTTAGTTCTATTTTTAGTTTTTTTGAGAAAACTCCATACTGTTCTCTATCACGTCTGTGCCAATTTACCTTCCTACCAACAGTGTACGAAGGTTCCTTTTTCTCCACATTCTCCCCAACACTTGTTTTCTTTTGTCTTTCTGATAATAGCCATCCTAACAGGTGTGAGAGTCTGAGGTAGGAAAAGATCAAAATGTAAAATGTGAAACCAAAAGTATGTAATAGGAAAAACTGACTATTTTTCTTCCACATTCACACACCACTCAGCACAACCCTTCTGACACCAGATGTGTGCCGGTCTTTTCCCATACACCAAGCAGTTTTCCAGTGGACACCAACTGGATGTTCTATAACTTAATTCAATTCTGGCACTATTTACCTGTAGATAGCATCAGACCTCGCAGATTGTGGGTCACTTCCACAAGCTGGTCCCCACTTCAGATGCCAATCTCAAATTCCAGGTTGTGACCTGTACTTCTGACCAACTGGCTTAGGGGTTCCTACATGTGTTAGGTTCCATTAATCTGCTAAGCTGTCTTAACAAACTCGGGGAAACAATTACTTAACTTTTACCAGTTTATTATGCTAATGAAGGATATAATAAAGCATACAGTTCAGGAGCGGTGGCTCACACCTGTAATCCCAGCGCTCTGGGAGGCCAAGGTGGGTGGATCACTTGAGGCCAGGAGTTAGAGAC